AAACATTTTTCTCTAATGTGTTTTTCTAGGTTAACAATTTCATGTGACTTTTTTGGAAAAGTGTTTTTTTGAGATAAAATTTGCCTGCAGTGAACTGCACTGACTTTAAAAGTACAATTAGGTCGGGCCGGTCCTTGGCTCACTCGGTAGAGTGCGGTGCCGATAATACCAAGGGCGCGGGTTTGGATCCTATATAGGGATGGCTGGTTTGCTCACTGGCTGAGCGTGGTGCTGACAACACCAAGCCAAGGGTTAAGATCCCCTTACCAGTCATCTTTATATAGGAAAAAAAAAATAAAAAGTACAATTAGGTGAGTTTTGGTAACTATATATACCTGTGTGATCAACAATCAAGATACAGAATATTTTCATCACCCCAGAAAGTTCCCTCCTGACCCTTTCCAGTCAATCCCATACTCCCTCCCCACAAGCAATACTGTGCTGATGTCTATCAGCATATTAATTTTGCCTGTTCTTGAAATTCATATAAATGGAATCACACAGTATGTACATTTTTTGTGTCTGGCTTCTTTCACTCCACACAATGTTTTTGAGATTAATCTATATTATCATGTATATCAATGGTTCATTTTTGTTTTATTGCTGAATAATTTCCATTGTATGAATATACCTCAAAAAGCCAATGTCATAAAACTAAGGACTAGGTCAACACCAATGTCAAGGGGCCCTACTGGCCAGCTGCAAAAAAAAAAAAAAAAAAAAAAAAAAAAAAAATTAAAGACTAGGAGACTCATAAAAGATGTAACAACCAAAAGCAGTGCATGAACTTAGATTAGATCCTGGCTTTAAAAACAAACAGAAACAAAAAAACCCTTAAAAAACTATAAAAGACAATAGGGGATATTAAAATATAGACTGGTTATTGGGCACTATTAGGGAATTCTTAGTTTTCTTAGCTCACTATGCCTTTCCTTTGCAAATCTCTAAAATTCTCTACTAATGATAGCACCATTTCCTCAGTCACTCAGGCTAAAGACTCCTGTGACACCACCCCCATATCAGTTCAGGTTCTATCACTTCTTTTTTAAGAGCTTTATTAAGATATAGATCACATACAATTCATATAGAGTACAATTAAATGATTTTCAGTATATACACAGTTATGCAACCAGCACTCCAATCAATTTTAGGGCATTTTCATCACCTCGAAAGGAAACCCTGTACTCACTAGCAGCCACTCCCCATCAGGCTTTTTTTTTTTTTTTTTTTAAATCGCTTCTGATCTGGCTCCTTACAAAGCCTTCTAACTCCTTATCTTCAACGCTCTTCTTGTCCCAATTCACCTCCCGTACATACACCATGCACTATTTGACCTCCCTAAAGCATAAATACCCTGTCGTCTAGATACCTTCAGTGACTCCTCTAAAGGATGTTTAGACTCAAGTAAACAAACACCCATGAACACCAATGGTATTTATTCCAGGCACCGTACTACGTGCCGGGAACAAAAATGGATTATCATTGCAAAAGTTCCTTCATCGCCACAGCGGCTCTGGTCAGGCAGTTCCCTCCGCCTAGAATGACCTCTGTACCCAGCCCCGCCCCCACCCCCAGAAATCTTTCTCAACCTTTAAGGACCATCTTCCCCGACAAGTGGCAGCCAACCCAGCAGCTCTCGTGACTATCATGACACTTATTTAACGCGCTCGCTTGCACACACTTGAAAGCCAATGCATGTTCGTACAATTAAAATAGGAGGGTACTTCAAAAAGGTCATGGGAAGATTCGGATCATCTTTTAATTCTATTCCCACCAACTTTTTGAAGTTCCCTCGTCTTCGGTGGGTGCAACGATGTCTCATTTCTGGAGTCGCCGGCCTTTGTCCCTGCACAGACATTGGCTCGTCAGAACCCCACCTCTTCCCCTCCGAGCGACCAGCGACCAGAAGTGGTGAGGAAGAGGGAAACTCCAGGAGGGGTCGGCCCTTAGGGTCACTTCTGCGCGAAGAGACCTCCAGGCCTCGATGGTCGGTGCTTCCGCTCCGGGTGCCGGCACCGCCCCCTTCCGGCGCCCGTCGCGCCCCGCCCCTCCCCGCCCCGACGCCGGCGGTGACGGAGGCACGCCAGGGTGACCTCACCCTCCAACATGGCGGCGGCGGTAGATTAGGGCTGCGGGTCGGAGCAGCCGCCGCCGCTGGGGGACCTTGTTGGAAGCTACTGCCGCCGCTGCCGCCTCTTCAATCTCTTCGGGGGCAGGGGCCGGGGCCAGGTGAGGGGAGTGGGGTTGCGAGCAGACAGAGCTGGGTGAGGAGGCGGTTTTCACCTGGGTAGAAACTGTCCGGGGACCGTGCCAAGCCACCGAGCCCCAGCCGGGCCGACGACGCGTGAGTGTGCGTGGGAAAGAGTGTGCGGCGGCGCCCGCTCGCCCGGCGCGCTCGGAGCCGGGCCCTGTCCGTCCAGCCGGACCGGGCCTGCGTGCCCGGCGCGGACCGCAGCAGGGCTCCTCTGGTGGGCGCCCGAGACGAGGCATTCGGCCTCTTCTCGAGCCTGCCCTGCGGATAGCTCCACATGGAAAACCCGGGTCCATTTTTAGGGCCGGACTGGGGAACGTGGACTTCTTTTTGGTCGAGAAAAAGGTTTTCATGGGATTCACTTAAGACGATTATAGGTTAGCTTTGCCAGTTCTAGCAGTTACTTCTCACAAGTCGTTAGAAAACTTAAGTTTCTTAGCCTTAATTCACTGCTGTTTTGACACCCATAATTGTTATTTTATTTTTTTCAGAAAAACCTGGGTTACCCTTGGAGGCAGTACAGTTCACACTTAGTCGTTTTTTCCTTTGATTTTGTCCTCAACGTCCTAAAGAGATCCCGAGTATCTTGTCTTCCTAACCGCCTGTGAGGAAGAGCTAGACTTCTTGAGTTGAGGCTTAACCTAGGCTTGAAAATCCCACGGGTCTGGCCAGTTGTTCACTTGCTCTTGACCGATAGCTGTGTTCAGCTCTTAACCACTCCCACTGTGTTTATCCAAAATAGCTATCTCACTGTTTCTATTTAGAAGTTTTGAGCTAAGCTGATAGTCCCCTCACCCCTTTTTTTGTTTATGATGCAAAACAAAACAATCTTTTTGCGAAATTGTCAGATTTTCCCTGGAGGCTTAGTGTAAACCAGAACGCTGCTCTTTGCTCTGACTTGTTGTGTGACCTTGGATGAGTTGCCACACCCTTCAGACACTTTTCTTTTTTTTAACCCCCCCGAACCCCCCCCCCCCGAAAATTAAGCAAGTGTTTGTGTGGGTAGTAGGTAGTGAACTGCTTAGACTTTGACCTTGGATGAGTTGCCCCCCCCTTCAGACCCTTTTCTTTTTTTTAACCCCCCCGAACCCCCCCCCCCCGAAAATTAAGCAAGTGTTTGTGTGGGTAGTAGGTAGTGAACTGCTTAGACTTCATATACACAGTTGGATAAATGTACCCTACACAATTGTATCTGCAAATTGAAAATACTTAAGCCATTATGAAATATTTTTCGTTTAGTAATAGGCATTTAAAGATTTCGAAAATTCTTTTGCTGTCTTTTTTTTTGGGCGGCTGGCCTCTATGGGGATCCGAACCCTTGACATTGGTGTTATAATACCGCACTCTAACCAACTGAACTAAGCTGCTAGCCCCCACTTTTACTCTGAAGAGTACCTACCAGTATGCAGTTGGTTAAGTATTTTTTTCAAATGGCTCATTTTCTTATGTGGAGCAGTGTACTCCAGTAATTGAAGTCATTTGGAGGATGTGTAAAGTTGAGTCCAACCAGTTTTGGAGAAAAAAAATGTGCTCACTAGCACATAATTTAATAAATACCTGTTAAATATCATATACATTAAGTTTTCAGGACAAATAATTTGCAACAATAATCATTTTTAAAATATTTTTTCTTATGAAATATTTTAAACATACAAAAGACATTTTGAAACAATACCTAGTTCTGCCATCCTGCTTTTATCATTATTTTTCAGACATGAATTTGATTCATATCTTATTTTAAATAAATGGTCAGTACCAGTTCTTGTTTAATATATATTACAGAGTTGGAGGGTGCTATTTTCAGAGTAGCTGATTATTTAATATCTTTAGAGATAATAATTAACATACCATACAACTCACCGATTTAAGTGTAATTCACAGAGTTGGTGCAACAATCACCCCAAAAAGAAACACATACCTATTAGCAGTCATTCTTTATTCCCTCTCATCCCCCGCCCCCAGGCAACCACTAACTACTTTCTGTATCTATAGGTTTGCATATTCTCGATATTTTATATAAATGGAATCATATAATATGTGGTCTTTTGTGAATGGCTTTCACTCAGCATGATGTTTTCAGAGTTCATACATGTCGTAGCATGCCTTTTTATGGCCACATAATATTCCAGTATATGGACATACCAGATTTTTAAAAATCTGTTCGTCAGTTGAAGGGGAGTTATTTCCACTTTTTGGCTGTTGTATATAATGCTGCTTTGAACATTCATGTGCAAGTTTTTGTGTAGATGTGCTTCCATTTCTCTCTGGCATCATACGTAGAAGTGGAGCAGAGTAACTAAATTTTATGTCTCCCTTTTACACAAGCTATGTACACGTACATGGGAAGCCTAGTTAACTTATTGTGAAAGTCGTATTGTGGGGAGGGGGGTGTGAGAATGAGGCATTCCTCTGTGAGTTGGCACGTCTGTGAATGCGACTGCTTAGAGAAAATACTTTTGGGCAGCTCTTTTTTTTTTTTTTTTTTTTTTTTTTTTTTTTTTTTTTTCCTTTTCTCCGTGTCCGGCTACGGATCGCAACCTTCAGTGTTGCCCCCGTACCGGACCGGGGACCGGCAACGGGATCGCAAGCCTCGGTGTTGCTCCCGCGCCTCGCTCAACCAGTGAGCGGGAACCGGTCTATACGTGGGATCCGAACCCTCGGACGGGAGCGCCGCCGCGCTTCCCAAGCGGCGCACTATCCAGTGCGCCACTGGGCCGGCCCTGGGCAGCTCTTAACACAAGATTGGACTAGAGTGTTTCAATTAGGCATTGTAAAGGGATAGTCTACACTAGAATACTAGTGTCTACTGAGTTTCAAGAATGGCACCTTGCTCAGTTGCATTCTTCAGGTGGGTGAATTTTCACAATTTCTCTATTTTTATTAGGATTATTTTATTGTACTTCTTTTTGAGAAAGCTTAGAATTCATTAGGAGCTAATAAAGCATGAGTTAAAAATACTGTTGTTGGACTTCATGATAATTTGTGGAACTTAAAAAAAATTTCCTATCAAAGCCACCAGTGAGTCTTGAAATGAAAGATCTGATAGCCATGAAACTGTTAATGTTTAAAATTCCCGATTTTTGATGTGTGACTGAGTTATCTGTGAATTTTTATTTTTTCTTTATTAACTGGGATTATAGATGTGTTCAACTCTGTATCACTAGAGTATTTAACAATCTTTTTTTTTTTTTTTTTTATTTTAAAAGATGACCGGTAAGGGGATCTCAACCCTTGACTTGGTGTTGTCAGCACCACGCTCAACCAGTGAGCTAACCGGCCATCCCTACATGGGATCCGAACCCGTGGCCTTGGTGTTATCAGCACCGCACTCTACCGAGTGAGCCACGGGCCGGCCCGAGTATTTAACAATCTTATTACGTTTTAACTTTATTTTAGTGGAAAGGAATGGCCTAAAAACAAAGGGTTCCTGAAATAACTTAATTAAAATATGTTAAATTGTAAGGTGTTTCTATTATTGGTTCTGTGAGGTTAAAAAATACAGTATAGGTATGATATTCTTTCATAATTAGTATGTTTGAGGTGGGTGCTAGAAATTTCTATTTTTAACAAGCATCCAACTGATTATTATGAGACAAGTTTGGATATAAATAGAAAAGACTCATGTTGCTGCAGATATGCTTTCGATAGGAATTTATAATAGGGTTTAATAGTTGCTGCATTCCTTTTGATTATAGTTCATAAAATGTGCCTAATTCCTGCAGTATAATCAGTGCTAGTGTCTTGGAATTTGCACTAGTACTCATAATAGAAATTTGTTTTTCTGAAAAAAAAAATCATGTATTGTAGAATTGTGGCTATTACATTTGTTACTGAGGGATCATGGATGTTTTATTTGTGTCTGGTTTGGAGATGCCACCGAATAAATGTAGAAACACAGGATTAAGTTACTTTAAGCTTCCTCAGGCTGTCTGTCTGGCTGATAACTACTTGCTACTTAATAGACGAACAAACTGTGTAAAGCAGGGTGACATAAATATGTTCAGTAGTTTGAGTTGTGCAAAAGATAGGAGAGTTGTGCAAAAGATAGGAGTTTTTGTGTTTAAGATCGTGCACATATTTTTTTTTTTTTTTGTCTTTTATCTTTTTCCGTGTCCGGCAACGGATCGCAACCCTCAGTGTTGCCCCCGTACCGGACCGGGGACCGGCAACGGGATTGCAACCCTCGGTGCTGCTCCCGCGCCTTGCTCAGCCAGTGAGCAGGAACCGGTCTGTACGTGGGATCCGAACCCTCGGGCGGGAGCGCCGCCGCGCTTCCCAAGCGGCGCACTTATCCAGTGCGCCACCGGGCCGGCCCCAAGATCATGCACATATTTAATCACTTCTTGATATCAAGATCAATTGTACCTAATTTGAATTCTTTTTTCTCCCCACCTCTACCCCCTAATTTGAATCCTAAAAGGACCTAGTAGATAAAATTTAAAGAGTAAAAGTACCTGTTTCCCTCTCCTCATTTAAAAGGAAGCTTGAAATACCTGTTTTTTAGATATGAAGTATACTCTGTGTTGGTGAGGCAGTAGTGAGATGGACCTGAGCATTGTCCCTTGCTTCCAGGAAAGCTTTGGGTGGTAGTTCCAGATCATGTTTACCTTTTATCCAAATTGACAAATTTGCTTCTTTCAGTATTCTGGGTGTCTGATATTAGGGAAACAACCTTGTTTTTCTGCCATTTCTTCCCCTATTATCGGTGTTAGTGTTTTCATCTGTGCATTCCTCTTACCCAGTACATTGCCTGGCATGTAGTAAATGTGTGTTGACTGAATGCGTATGAAGGCTAAGAGGAAGAGAAGAGTTTATAACTAATTACGTGGTTGCACTGTTAACTGGCTGTATGATTTTAGGCAAATAAATTGTCTGTTCTTGTTTCTTCATTTGTAAAATTGAGACTATTACCTTTTCATTCAAGCATTCTGTGACACCACACGGAAAAATGCTTTAGAAATAAATGTTGCGGGCCGGCCTGGTGGCGCACTGGAGAGTGCGCCGCTTGGGAGTGTGGCGGCGCTCCCGCCGAGGGTTCGGATCCCATGTGGAGACCAGTTCCCGCTCACTGGCTGAGTGCGGTGCGGGCGCAACACCGAGGGTTGCGATCCCGTTGCTGGTCCCTGGTACGGGCGCGACACCAAGGGTTGCGATCCTGTTACCGGTCAGTAAAAAAGACAAAAAGGAAAAAAAAAAAGAAATAAATGTTGCATGCAGATGTAATCTATTTATGATGTTTGTTAGAAATACAAGAGCCCCTAGTGTAGTATGCTGATTAGGCACTACAGAATGTTACAAAGAAAGTGGGTATTTTCTCTTCCCAGAATACCCTTAGAGACATGACCCTGTAGTAGTCCTGTGGAGTTTACAGTTGGCATATTCTCAATGCCTTTGCCCTATAATTTAATACAAATGCACTAGTTATATAATAGTGTTTCTGGGATCCGTCTGCCCCACACTTAATCACAGGCCTAAATGAGCTACTTCGTTGCTACACAACTGGAAATTGAAGCTAAATTAGAAGTTGGATGGGTATTTTATACTGCAGGTCTGGTATGTTTATAACTACGATGCCAAATACACTTTTTTCCCCCCAAAATCTTGGTGGCTGAGTGGTATGGGGACCCAAACCCTTGACCTTGGTGTTGTAACACCACACTCTAACCAACTGAGCTAACCAGCCAGCCTCAAATAATACATTTAAAGTCTAAAAACTGCATACTGAATTTAAATGAATAATACACAATATAACCATTCACCGAATATATAGATGTATAAGCATTAATGTTACTGAAACCCCAGAGGTACGATTGCTTGCCGCTCAATAGTCAATAATTGAGGGACAAGTGTTGGCATAAGGAAAGGTATCCTTTAATCAGGAAGCCAGCGGCCTGGGACGATGGTGGACTATGTCTCAAAGACAATCTCTGTTTCTCCCAGGTTTGCCAGAGAGTTTTATAGAGGTCTGGGGTGGGAAGTTGATTCATGGTGACCAAGCAGGGATGTGCAGATGTGCTTCAGTGTTTCAGATAATTGTCAAGGGACTTCCCAGGTGGGAATTGACCAGTATCATACTTCATTCTCTGTGGTTTCAGTTCCTGTTATCCTCAAATAAGATAAGGTTAGTAAGCTAGTAAAGAATGGCCATCTGGGTTAATAATTTTCTCTCTAGTTATTTGTATACAATGTGAGAGCAAGAGTCATTGTGTTTTGGCAATTAGCTGTAGGCTGTGTGGTTTGGGTTAAAGGAGAGAACAAGTTTTTAAATTCAAAGGCTTAACAAAATGGAGTCACTTCTATTCAGGTTGTTACATTACCATATATGCTAGAGCTAAAGACTTTATTACAAATAGGTTGGTGAGTGTGGAAGGTGGAAAATGATGAAATCCATGGTTAAGATTGCTTTTCTAATTAGGCAGTTGGGTTTTGTAATAAATTCAAAGAGCATTGTGCTAATATCAAGTTTGGAAACTTGGTGAACTATGCCTTGTGTGTGGCATCTGGGTTGGGGAATGACTAAGTGTCTTTAGTGATGGGCATTCTTGATAAATACAAGAAATTTGAATAAAACAAATGAGAGAACGTCAGTTTTTTATTTAAAGCATTTTTCAAAGTGTAAGTCCTTTTTTATTCGTTACCAAAGAGCTACTGAGCCTTTTTAAAGCTTAAATTGTTGCTGATGTCATCAGTTCTCCCCCATCTCTTTTGGAACTCTGCTTCGTAGTGTATTCCTTGCTCTCCTTGTAGGCTCCTGCTCCACTGAGTGTAAACATGCTTAAGTCTCCTTCATTGTGTACAAAGACAAAACAAAACAAATGAACTCTCCCAAGCCTTTGTCTCTCTTCATCCTCCATTTATTTCTTCCCTCCAAACCAAATTCTTTCTTTGAAAGAATAGACAAAAATTCACTTTCTCTATTTTACTTCCCATTCACTCTTCAGATCCCTGCCTTCCACCATTGCCATTGCCCCTGCCAGTCAAACCAGACTGCCAGAGCTCATGGATGACTTCCTAATGCCCGAATCCAGTTGACGCTTCTCACTTTTGTTCTTCTTGACATGTCGTTATATTTCACACATCTGTTCACTACCTACTTATTGAAGTGCCTCCCTTACTTCTATGACCACACTCTCCTGGTTTTCTTTCTACCTCTCTGACAGTTCCAGCCTAGAATAAGAGGTCTCCTTTGCTGGCTTTTCATCTTTTGGCCAACTCTTAAATTTTTTTTGCCCTGAATTTTACCATGATTCTTTTTAAGATTATACAGGTATTTCTTGACATATTTTTTAATCCATGTCTCCATGTCTCCTTTATCAAAAGGAAATAAATAAACATTTCCCTAGCTCTCATTCTGGTGGTGATGGTGGTGGCCGGATGGAGGGAAGGGAGGGTGTGAGTGTGAGTGTGTGTGTGTGTGTGTTCCTCTGTGTGTGTGTGTTTTCTCTTCTGCCTGATGAATGGAGAAAGAGAGTGTGTGTGTGTGTGTGTGTGTGTTGTGTGTGTGTGTGTGCGCGCGCGTGCGCGTGCCCTGGCAGAGAAGAGTTACTGAGCTTTACTTTCTTTTCTTCTTTTTTCTTTTTTTATCTTTTTTCGTGTCCGGCAACGGATTGCAACCCTCAGTGTCGCACCCGTACCGGACCGGGACCGGCAACGGGATCGCAACCCTCGGTGTCGCGTCCGCTCCTCGTTCAGCCAGTGAGTGGGAACCGGTCTGTATGTGGGATCCGAACCCTCGGCGGGAGCGCCGCCGCACTCCCAAGCGGCGCACTGTAGCAGTGCGCCACCGGGCCGGCCCACTGAGCTTTACTTTCTATACTTGGTAATCTGAAAACAATAGGTGATTTTCCT